GTTAAGCTTGTAGAAGTGAGCAGGGAGGAGGATGGGAACAAAATTGCTTGGCTCTGTCTGTCTGCCTGGGCTTCTAGTATTCCACCCTACCCATCCCAATGGGCACCAGCCACCACTTCAGAGATGTGTGCCACATGGCCTGCACACATACATACCCTACAAGCTCGCCTGCTGCCCTCTGGTGCACTGGAGGACCCAATTGCCTCACCTGTGTTGAAGTAACATCCAGCTGTTAGGCTGGCCAACTTCTAAATATGAAAACGGAGAGGTTGTTCTCTTGCTCTTTGCCCCAGGCAGCAAAATGTCTCGGGCCAGCTCTCTTCCTTATCAGCTCATATGATTTAAACAGTGGAAATGTTCAAGATTTTACGCAGTTATGTTGGAATCCAGCCCAATAATTTTTAATCAAGACGTCTTGCCAGTGTCAATATTTGAAGATACAATCTATGAAGCAGAGTTATGTGCAGTCTTTTCCTGGTGACATGCCAAATAGAGAACTTTCTCCTGCAATTAAATAATGCCTGTTGAGATCATTTGGCCCAGAAAGATGAAAGATGGCAATTTGATACAAATTTGTAGTAAAGACTAGTATTGTCAATTAAATGTACAGCTCTATTAAGATATAGAAAACAATCCAGCCAAAGCGAATACTTTTTGAATTCCATTCATTTCAACAGAGATATTTTGAGTATACAGTGGTACCTCGGGTTAAGAACTTAATTCATTCTGGAGGTCCGTCTTAACCTGAAACTGTTCTTAACCTGAGGTACCACTTTAGCTAATGGGGCCTCCCACTGTTCTCATCCTGAATCAAAGTTCTTAACCCGAGGTACTATTTCTGGGTTAGCGGAGTCTGTAACCTGAAATGTCTGTAACTTGAAGCATCTGTAACCCGAGGTACCACTGTATGCTTAATTATTCCACTGAAAGTGGTGGAACTTTAAAATCCTTAACTTTGGCCATGACTGGAACTCTTTCCTGCTAAAAGGAAATGTTAGCTTATTAGTAAATGCTCAAACAGTCAGAATCTGCGTACAAATTATAATGATATTGCAATCTGGCTGATCTGAATAAATAGTGACACAGAATGCTGAGGTTGCAGCATTTATTGTGGCTGCTAGGAGGCAACAGTGCACTGGAGTGACTAGCAGGTCCGAAAAGGCTGTAGGGAGCCAACATTTGGCGTATGTACAATTGCATTTTGAAGTGATCCAGTATGTTTAACTATGCAAAGAAATTATATTGGAATGTGCGTTTCAAGTAAGATGGCATTTGGCCAAGATACTGTACAACCAGAGGCTTATTATCTTAGATTACCTGAAACAAATAACTGGGACATGATTTCTACCTCACAAACCCAAATATGCACTTGAAATAATTATTGCATGGTTTCGAAGACTAGTTTGAAATGAGTCCATTTAAGAATAAGTCCAGAATTGGATTGTCAATAAAAAAACAAAGTGGAATTAAGTTGACCATATGATCTGGGTTATTTTCCTCCTCTCATCCATATTGATGTTACTCAAATATCTCACAGACAAAGAAGCGACAGCACAAACATGAGTGGCACTCACACTTTTCTATCTCTGCTTCCAGGTTTCATGCAAAATTGGTGGCAGGGGAGATGTTCTGCCCATGGAAAGGAGAATGAGCAGTGCTATTTTTCTAGAAAAAGAGGTGCCGGAACTCACCGTGAACACCTCCCTTGTTCTCTTATGACAGCAATGGCACCCACCTGAGAGGTGCCTGAACTGAGTTCCAGCTGAAAAAAAGCCCTGAGAATGAGCATCTTGCTGGGGGGAGGGGAATGTCCACATATTCACCTGAGGCTTAGAAGTGGCAACAGTCACTCATGTTTCAGGGGACCATCTGACTCATATAATAATATAACTCAGAACACACACAAAATACACTGAAACACCTTATTATTATTGAAGTTTTGCTTCTATACACTGGCCCCATTTTTCTCAGATGTGAGACAGTTGGCTTATCCCCTCACTATGACTTGCTAATAAACATTTGTTGTTGGTAGTCATGTACTGGAAACACTGGCTGAAGAATCAAGCATGGGCCACTGGACTCTCATTCTGACATACAGAAAAACCTGTTAGTTAACACCCTCTGGAGGCCAGGAAACAGTGAAGTGACATCACTTTGAGCAGTTTTGGTATGTCAGAAATGCTGTCAGCAGCTTCAAGGGGTGTGGATAGGTGCTACATACACACTAAAGTCCAAACCTTGGTTAATATTTTTCCTTTCTTCTGGGCAACAAATCCTAGGTGCTGCTAGGAACAGTAGATATCCTATTACAAAGGCATTTATTTGTAGCAGCAATATAATAGAACATCCATTATGCAAACCACAGTCAACTAGAATCTTCTTGTTATCAAGTGCATGTAATCTGATGTGCCAGTGCAGCAGAAGGCAGACAATACTCCCATTTATCTAAAATGCAAATTATTCGGATGCCTGCTAAGCAATTAGGATCAAAAGACTTGGCCCCCATCATTTGCTGTACTGTACTTCTAAAATAGCTTTTCCCAACATGGCAACCTCCAGAGCTTTTGGACTACAATTCCTATCAGCCTCTGTTGGTGAAGTGGACAACTAGTTTGACTTTAGAAGATATTATTTCCACATGGTAAAGAATGATGCTTTCTCCAGATGGCATGTACAGTGGTACCTCTGGTTACGTACCGTACTTAATTCGTTCCAGAGGTCAGTTCTTAACCTGAAACTGTTCTTAACCTGAAGCACCACTTTAGCTAATGGGGCCTCCTGCTGCTGTCGTGCCGCCGCTGCGCGATTTCTGTTCTCATCCTGAAGCAAAGTTCTTAACCCGCGGTACTATTTCTGGGTTAGAGGAGTCTGTAACCTGAAGCATATGTAACCTGAGATACCACTGTATGTTATACACTACACTACACTACTGTATATGCCAATTTGTCTTCCTGTAAATAAATCTGGAATTGGTTTTGATTTGTGGGGTCAGTAGAAATAAACTCACTGAATTTACCTGCAAACATAAATAACATCAAGTAATTAGATGCTTGCTTAACACCTATCCACTTGATTGACTGAATTTATTAGTCTAAAAGTTGCCCAAGGTATTTGATTTCTTTTTTATGATATTTCTCTCTTTTTGTACACTATTAGGATACTTTGATGTTTAGTGGTTTAAAATTCCTGTGAGATAAATGAAAAAGTGAGATCTTAGACAAGGTAAAGCAAATTGCTCTGTGACTTAGTTCTAGGTTTCTAGGTGATCTGTTTTGTTTCCAGCCAGTAGATACAAACGAAAACAGCTCAGTAGATGATTGGCAGGAGATTACTTTTTTAAAATGGTAAATACTGGCACATCTAGGTACTGTTCAACAATCAAGCATATCAAGTTTCAAATGTTGGTGATAATTTTTCTGCAGCGGATAACAATAGTACTTGGCAGCAAGGGTGAAATACTCAGTAGGGCACATCTATGCAGTTTAAAAAAGGGAGGGGGACAAACAAGATTATTTCTGAGCAGAGCCAATTCATTGTGTTTAATGCAACTCTATGCAAAACAGAGACATAGAGTTACATGGAGGGGCAGGAGCAGGTTAAAGGAGTTTAGATGCAGCTGGACAGCAGCAGAGAAAAATCCACTTAGCCCATATATGTGGGCAAAGAACTTCAGCCTGCCATGGTATAAGATCAGGGCTTTTAAAGGACTTAAATGAAGACCTCACACTTATTAGACAGCTCTGTAAGGCCTAGACGTCTGGATAATTGACAAATGAACTTTGCTTTGGTCAACAGTTAAAGTGTTTATGAAACAACGGATGTGGGGTGGTGGTGAGGGTGGTATTTGCTTGGTTCATATTCTGCTCTAACCACAAGAAAATGTAATCACAACATGTGTAACTGCAGACTGGCACATAATGCTAGATAAGCTGATTTCAAAAGAGCAAGCCTATTTTAGTAAAGGTAAAGGTAAAGGTAAAGGGACCCCTGACCATTAGGTCCAGTCGTGGCCTACTCTGGGATTGCGGCGCTCATCTCACTTTATTGGCTGAGGGAGCCGGCGTACAGCTTCCAGGTCATGTGGCCAGCATGACTAAGCCACTTCTGGTGAACCAGAGCAGCACACGGAAACGCCGTTTACCTTGCCGCTGGAGTGGTACCTATTTATCTATTTGCACTTTTACGTGCTTTCAAAGTGCTAGGTTGGCAGGAGCAGGGACTGAGCAACGGGAGCTCACCCCGTCATGGGGATTCGAACCACCGACCTTCTGATCGGCAAGTCCTAGGCTCTGTGGTTTAACCCACAGCACCATCCGGATCTCGCTATTTTAAGGCTATTTTATTAACTTGTCGAAATCTTCTTGCAACTTTTGTCATTTCTCAGGATATTTGAGGAAGTGACTTGAGTGCTTGTTGTGTGTCAACTGCTGTAAAAATATCTTGCACTTTGTACAATGTTCAGACCAACCATGGCACAGGTGGGCAAAAGGCGTCTCTCTTGTTTATATGTGTCAGAAATTAAAGAGATGTCATTGGTGTATGTTTCAAAATGATTATCTTGTGATCTGATTTCCACAATGCACTTAAACCACTACACCAAAAGCTCCCACTCTTTTGAGAGGTGGTATGATACATGGGTGAGAGGTTTGGACTAAGAAATGAGAGACCTGGATTCAGAATCCTCAGTCTGCCCTAAAGCTATTTGAGCGACCTTGGTCCAGTTAACATATATCAGCTTAGTTTACCTCACAAGGTTTTTGTGAAGTTGGAAGGGGGTGAGGGGAGAAAAGAGAATCGTGTACATCATTTTGAACAACTTGGGGTTAATGAAACTGATAACAAAATCACTATCCACGTGAATCTTCAGTGTCCCACCTGTTCAACTCCATTGTATTCTTTTGTGTAAAGCTCCAATAAAGTTCTCATTGCATTAGATTTAGAACACAGTAGTACAGAATAGACAAAAGACAGCGTTCTAATCAAGGTTGCAAGTGGAATGTGGCACGTTATGATATGAAACATGTATACCTGCAGGTTACCATTAGAGTCAAAAACTCCAACCAAATCACAACAGAGGGATTGAAAGGTTCTGGGTAATTAAATGGAACATACCTACAGAGGAAAAAGAAAACAATTCAAAGCATTAATAATGAAAGATTAACTATAATCTCTAGGTAACCTCTAGGTTAGATTACTGAAACAGATTATACATGGGGCTGCCTCTGAAGACAGTTTGGAACCATCTCTTTCCATATGAACTGACCTGGGCCCTGCAATCATCATCTGAGGTCCTTCTTCATGTGCTTCCTCCACAAGCGGTCTGGAGAGTGGGAGCACAAGAACAGGCCTTTTCTGTGGTGGCTCCCCATTTGTGAAATGTTCTTCTTAGGGGGCTTACCTGGCCACCGTCATTATACTCCTTTAGGTGCCAGGCAAAACTGTTCCCCTTCTCCTCGGCCTTTCATTGGTGTTATTGTTTTTGTTTGTTATACTATGTTACATATTTTTGTGTTTTTATATTGTAAACTGCCCTGCAATCCTTGGATGAAGGGTGGTATAGAATTTCTTATTCTTATTATTTAAAACAGAAGACTGTCCCCTCCCCAAGAAATATGCTATAGATCTGTCAAAATCAAGGATGTCTTCTCTTCATACCTTTAATTGTACTTGGCTGATATTCAGACCAATCCTCACTACTGATGCTGATAGGTTGCAGTGGGAGGAAGTAAGAGGCAGACACCAATTACTTGGATTAAACAGGCCACAACTTTATTTCCACAGCATGGCATAAAACATTAGCTAGGCTCCAGAGATATGGGAATTTAGAGATGATCCCCGGAAAAAGGGGGCAGAACCAAGAGCAGACTTAGAGGAGCGCCAACATAAACTGTTTTATCTGTTTAGCAATAAAACATTTTATTAACTTTTTACTTGGTGCGACCTTGATGTGAACGAATTCCTTATTACAAAAGCCATATACAGTGGTACCTCTGGTTAAGTACTTAATTCGTTCCGGAGGTCTGTTCTTAAGCTGAAACTGTTCTTAACCTGAAGCACCACTTTAGCTAATGGGGCCTCCTGCTGCCACTGCGCCGCCGGAGCCCAATTTCTGTTCTCATCCTGAAGCAAAGTTCTTAACCTGAAGCACTATTTCTGGGTTAGCGGAGTCTGTAACCTGAAGCATATGTAACCTGAAGTGTATGTAACCTGAGGTACGACTGTACTGCTGTTGTCAAAAGGCAGTGTGTGGGATGCAGCAGTCATATGATGCATTGGTACAAGCTCTTTCAATTTTGTTACAGGTTTATGAGCTCCAGTTTGCTTATGCTACTACAGTTTTTTTTTTTTAAAGAACAGTGCAAGTTTATTGGGATTCCTATACAGAAGCTGCATAACGGCAGACAAGGTTTTCTAAAGCTTGATGACCATCCCTGATATTTACTTGCTCCCACAAAGTGAAACCATAGGAGTACATTAGGTCATTTTAAAGCACCCTCTCCATTCAGGTAAGAAAACAATGAAGTGCATGAACTAAACAGGTGACTCAGGACATACTGCAGACTCCCCTGCAATGCATTGTGGTTCTCTTGAAGATCTACAGGATGTGTTTGGCACAGGAGTCAATGGATGCATCATGCTAATCCATGGTTTAGTGTGACTGTGGTATGAGCTGGAATGACTATGAGCATGCCTACAGTTCCAGCACTTCCCTCTCCTCCCACTCAACTAAGAGGAAAATTTCAACAGCATTTAGTTTTGCTTTCCTTGAACCTTGCCTGCTTGTGTTGCCTAGACCAGGGACAGATATTGATAACAAACAGGAGAATTTAACACGTAGCTATATAACCCATAGCTTGAAGCTGGCTTGCTCTGAAATGGACCAGCATTTCTTCAAAACCATGATTCCAGCAAGCTGAGAGTCAGGGAAAATGAAGTGAATGTTACAGAAGTCATCCTTCTGGGCGTGTAGGAGGAGGGGTGTGTAAAACCAAGGCTCATGGCAACTCCTTCCTGTTCATGCATGATTTAGCAGGACATGCAAACGTATAAAAAGGGTTCCCAGAAAACAGACAGTTATGACAGAGGGGGCACCATACTAAACAGCAATGATTTATTTTTCCCCCATTAAAAATTACATGGATCCTGAAATTTGCAAAGCCTCAGCATGGTGTTTAGCTTACCATGCAAATGTTGAAGCCAAGAGAAAGATAAGTTCATCTCAGATATGAGGATCCAGGAAGAAATGCTCAGGGACAACATTTACAGGTCTGATGCAGTTTGCATGGCTGATTAGTCTGCCTTAGCCTAATTACCCTTGCCTGTCCTGACTGTAAAGATAAAGACATAGAATACTGAAGGCAGCTAAGATGAAAGAAGACTGTCTCTGCCATAAAGAAAGAATACATAACCAGCAGCCTGTCTGTCTATCTGTCTCAAGCTTGAGGCCTAATTGAACCCAGTTTTATTGAGGTGCAGCAGACACCACCAGGCCAAATTTTTGGCAATGCTTCATGTGTCAGATATCAAAGTCTTAGTTCATGCTAATTAGTCTTACTAAGTTATTTACTTTGGCAGTTCTCGTGGAGGCTCACCAAAATAGATTTTTTAAAATTAGCTTTTTAAAAATTGTATTGTTTTGTTATTTAACGTTGAACACACTCAACTTTGGTGAGCTTAGCCATGTTATATGTCTTCTCCAGTAAATAGAACTTATTCATCCCATCTTCTCAGCAAGTGTCTGGGTAGATTAGTAAGTTTCCAAGCATAGTTGGAACAATTACTTTCCTAACATATCTGAGTGATGACAAAATGAATTCCGAAGAGGAGAATTTGAATGCCTTCCCTGCGTATGTCTTTCTCTTCTATCAAACACTCCAGTTGACTTTGGGCAAGGGAGGGGCAGCTGCAGCATCAAGCAGGAGGGGATGCAGCATGGAAAATACCCAAAACAGATTTGCTCAAATTCCATGATTTCTTATGGTTCCAAGCAAAGAGGTTTCTTACCAGCGTGGTGTAGTAGTTAAGAGCGGTGGACTCGTAATCTGGTGAACCGGGTTCGCTTCCCTGCTCCTCCACATACAGCTGCTGGGTAACCTTGGGCTAGTCACACTTCTCTGAAGTCTCTCAGCCCCACTCACCTCACAGAGTGTTTGTTGTGGGGGAGGAAGGGAAAGGAGATTGTTAGCTGCTTTGAGACTCCTTAAGGGGAGTGAAAGGCGGGATATCAAACTCTTCTTCTTCTTCTTCTTCTTCTTCTTCTTCTTCTTCTTCTTCTTCTTCTTCCTGTGTCTTCTCCAAAGGGACGTGCATGTTAGAAAGGAAACCTTATTAATCAAAGGGCTTCATGTGCATCTGCAGCAAGGAGTTGACTTTAATAAATGGAGAGCATGTCAAAATGCTTAGCATTTGAAATGAAAAAGATCACTAAAAAGCATAGTCCTCCCAACACATTCTTTATGTGTAAACTGAATGTATTCATCAGGAAACTGTCGTGCATGCACACAGCAATCTCCCATGCTGAGCTGACCACAAGCAAATATCATCAATGTACCCTTAAATAAAGCCCCATGCAGTAGGAACCAAACTGGATTTAGCTGAGAGATTCTAACAATAGTGTCATTTACTCTGCTGAATTTATTCCTGTGTTTTGATTATTAATCAGCTGATCGGGAGGCGGGATCTATGCAGCATTCAAGACAGTTACATTTTCTCTTATTATCTCAACTGAAAGCAGACTTACATTCATCTGGACACTGATTTTCCTGAATAAATATTCCTGAAATGTTTGGTTCAAGGAGAAACCTGTTCTTTAGTTGCTTGCACCACGGGCTTCAGATCCCAGCCCCAACTTTATCCATGCGGCACAAGCTGAGCAGACGCTTGCAACAATGCCCTGATACATATTGGAAAACAACCCATCCCTGATGTATAGCCCTTTTTAATTGTTAGGATATTTTATAGCACAAAGTGCATTGCAAGAATTTTTTCTTTAACTATTGCAGCAAGTCTGCGAAAGAAGTCATGAATATTCCTATCTTAGAGACTGGAACTCAATTCACAGTGTGACTTGTTCCAAGGCTGCCCAGGGTTTTTGTGGCTGAAAGGGGACTTGGAGCCAGCAGCACCCTCCAGCTCAAGTCCAACTGTATCCACCAGACATATCTTCATTTGCATCCTGCTGTATAAGCAGTAGAAGAGTCCTTTGAATTTCTGCATACAAGGGAGCTTCTCCATTCATTCCAATAAAGGATGCAGTCACGAACATACAAGTTGTGCACCAGAAGCCATTTGGTTTGCACTCTGAAGAGAACAGCAATTTGCTCGCTTCACCTAATCCTTCCTGTCTATCAGGTTTTGCAACTATCTTGTGGCCATGGATATCACAGCCAATCAATCAACTCTGCCAAGATTAATACAGAAGGGGGGGGGGAGGTTTTACAGAAAGCTGATAACACCAAATATCATTGAGTTGGGTCCAGATTTACATGTGACCAGTGCTTTTCTTCTTGGGGGGACGCAGGGGTATGCATACCCCTAAACACTTTGTGACTCTAAGTTTGGCCTCATTGAGGGGAAGAATTTCAATATGAGTAGGATAATGAGAGTACCCCTAAACATTTTTTTTTTTAGAAAAAAAGCACTGCATGTGGCAATGTTCCCTTGTGCTGGAGAAAGGGTGAGGCGACAATGTTCACCAAATCCTCCTTCTCCAGAGTCCCTGAAAACCCTTCACCTGTGTCCAGAGGTGGATTTAGGGGGTTCGGTCACACTGGGTGTAGAGGCTCAGGGGTACCGCAACTACAACTATGATGTAGAAGAGATGGCGAGAGGTGAGAGGCAGGGGCCCACCAAATTTTGGTGTTGCACAGGGCGCCACTGAAATTTGAGATCTGCAAGGTCCCCCACTGCCTGTGACCCATGAAAATTTGCTCCAAAGGATTTAGGGACCCTGCAGAGCAGCATAAGAAGTGACTGCAGAGAAAAGGGAGAATCAGCCCAAACCGTCTTCCACCCTCCCCTCCAGTGGCAAGCCTCCAATGGAACTCAGAGCCTTCTGGGTGAATATGTGAAGTACAAGGTGTGACCGGAAAGTTCGGTGAATGGCCACAGAAATCTGACAGCGAGAAACATTCAGACATACAATCGGCATCGGAAACCCACAAAATGCTCACAATTGTGTATGGAGATGAAGCTGTTACTCGAATGACAGTATATGAGTGGTTTAAGCGTTTCTGTGAAGGGTGGCAAACCACAGAAGATGACCCTTGGTCTGGCAGACCATCAACAAGCAAAAAGGAGGCAAATGTCGACAGAGTTCGTGAGTTATTGATGCGGGATCGGCGTTTGTCCGTCTGAATGATGGCCGAAGAATTGCATATTCTGCATGAAATCATTACTGAAGTTACTGAGTTGTTTCACCCTCCACATTCTCCCAATCTGGCCCCACCTGATTTCTTTCTTTATCCAAAACTGAAATCTGCACTGAAAGGGCACAGGTTTCCCAACATTTCACACATCCAAGCTGCTGTGACAAGGGAACTGAAAGCAGTACGAAAAGAGGACTTCTCCAGAAGTTTCCAACAGTTCTACGAACGTTGTCAATGGTGCATTATATCAGAGGGGGCCTACTTTGAAGGCCTGTAAGGTGTGTATGTTCAAATATTCCTCACTGTCCGATTTCTGTGACCATTCACCGAACTTTCCAGTCACACCTTGTATTTCCATTTGCAGACAGGACACACCGGATCCAACCCAGTGTTTTTGACCGTTATCTAGGCAAAAAGAATTCTCTCATGTTCTTTAAGAAAATTAGTAGCTTTAGGGTTTGGGATTGCAATAATCCAAAAGCTGGCAGAGTTCCTCCTGTGCATTTCACAAGGTATATTTGTCCTCAGTGAACATTATTTGCCTGGGTGTGCAAGATGTCTCATGCCTGAAGACTAAAATATTTGGAGGGAAAAGGGTAAACTATAAGGATCATTCATTTTGTCAAAATTTATGAACAACTGACTCCTCATATTGGAAATTGGCTTTTAAAGCTGGGCTCTATCATTTGTGACTGCACCATGTGATGTATAAAACTCATAAACATGTTGCAGCAAGTCAGAGACGGGCGTGAAGCAGAGTTTCAGAAGCTGCCAGCACAGAGGAACCACTAAATTGGCATGGTGCCTTGATAGGCCCAACCCTTAAAGAAACCAAGATTTAAACTATACTCACACGCACATTAACGACAATATGGTCACTGAATACTAACATGGATAAATACTATTAATTAAAAACATTCAAATGTTGTTTCAAAACTTCATTTGCCATTTTTAATAAGTGTTAAGCAATAGTAGTAAACATTGCTACAGTCATTTTAATAATTTTCATTAAAGCTTTTTTAAAAAATGCTACTTAAAAACTACTACCCGGCACCTTTTTAATATTGGCCTTTTCATGTTCTTTCAAGGTTTGCCTCTTCTTCTCTGAACAAACCAATAGCAAACTTTCCATGAACCCATGCTGCCATCATATGATGCCAGTGGGCATCTTTGTTGCATCAGATTTTTCTTCCCACCTCCGCCTTCCACTCTGGCTGGCATAGACATCAGGATTGTGGATATAGCAATGGCTGTACCACTCCATCAAGCTCTGCTGTTCCCAGCCAGATTATTTTGGATGGCACCCTACAAACATGCATTTTTACACAAGCATTCCCCAGCTCTTGATGCCATTTTTTAACTACCTGGGTCCTGTGTGATCTTTTACTGTTTTATCGTAATGTTTCATTAGCATTGCTGTTATTTTGTTGTTATAAAACACCTCTGGATTTATAATTAAATGAAATCAGGCACTGAAATTATTTTAAATAAAAAGAGGAATGCACAAGCACTTCTGTGTGCACTGTGAAAGGAGTTGAACCTATGCATACGTTGGAAGCAAATGTTTGCATAGCCCTTTAGGGTGTTCAACAAGTTCCTGCTCTCCTGTCCAAATGGTTCTCTTCCAGCGCTTTTTAAATTTGGCACCCTGTGGCAACAAAAAAAGGCACCCAATTCAAAAGCACAGAACTGTAGCTGGAAAGGAAAAATTCTCAGCTTTTTCCTTTCCAGCAACAGCTTGAATTCAAAAACCCTAACCCTTTGCACACATGTCTGGATTCCTTTGCACCTGCAAGGAAGACAGGAGGATTCCTCACCTGAAGTTGAAGCACTTGATGTCATGTGACATCAGATGATTGACAGGTGAGCAGCCCTTTCCACCTGTCAAAGTGGCTCCTCGGGGTTGGGGAACTTTTGTATCCAGTCTGTGAAATTCACTTCCCTACCCTTACTCTAGGATATAGACACCAGAGCAATAACCATATTTGAGATGGCTGTTCCACTAATGTGAACATGCCCCACATTTATTTCATATTGCAGAAATTTCCTGTTACTCTGGGCTCGCTGTTTGTTAAAAGAGAACTATGAGGCATGACTTTGGCATCATCTGCTTCACAATCATTTGCAGTGTAGATGCAGGGCCTCTCCTTTCTCTCAAGAATTCAATGTGTGCTGAGCTAGAGATTTTATCAGCAGGCAGCTTTGCTCTTGAATCAAGGGCTTAACCAAAGGTTAGCGGAGATTACTGCAAAAGCCCCAGAGTTGCTTTACGGGGGAAATTGTGTTTATTGACAATGAGGTGAGGCATACACATGCATATATGTGTGTGTGTATGTGCGCACGCGTGCACGCACACACACACACACACACACACACACACACAGAGAGAGTGGAGAGGTTGTGCAAGTGATACAATAGCAGACCTTCTTAGAGAAGTGGTTTCAAAATGGATTTCCCACTCCTTTCAAGACTTGCCAAGATTGCAATCACCTTGTGAAAGGCTTGCCTGTGCAAACTTGTTCTAAGGCGAGTGAATCCAGATGGTCATTGTGTAAGCTTAAACGGGGACCTTGTTGTGCTCAATCCACCAAGCTCTGCTCACATGTAGGCCTTGCTGAGATGAATGGAAGTGGTGCCTCTTGGTTAAGGGGGAAATGCTAAGAGCTTTCGTTAATGCAATGCAAGTTCCTACTTTATGCAGCTGTCAATATATTCTGCCCACTCCTTTTACACATCCTACAAGTTTCTTTGAGAGATAGGCCAAAGAAATTTTTGCCCAGGCACTCCCAAAAGAAAGAAAATAAACTGAACTTATTTTTCCATTAGTGTATGTTCTGTGAAATATATTATAAAGCTGCCAACTTATAGCTCTGGGTTCTACTGCTGAAGCTTGGGCTAGTGCATCATCTTTTAATGAATGACAGGCTGACTTCATGTGTATAGACATAGCTTTATGTGGAAGCAGAATGGCCTGCATCTTAGAAGTCCAGACTGTGCCCCACAGATGTAATGTGGAAGGAGGGTTTGAAATGAAGGAGCAGTCTGTTAATGGAGACATTTAACATATATCTAAGACCTCAAAATTACTATCACACAGTCTCTTGCACTTCTCTTTCCCCCGATGTTTTTTCTCCCTGATAACAGAAATCTGGCCAAGGGAAATGCTTCTCAGGGAAGGATTGTGAGGGAAACACCCCCATTTGAGGGAGCATTCAGCACCCCTTTCTACAACGCTTCCAGAGGAGCCTTGAAACCAAACACCCAACTACTCTCCAATGAATGATGTAAAATGTGAAACAGGATCATTAACAATCTGTCTCATTGTAGCAATACATATACTATCTTCCTGTGTTTTACCGTAGATATTGGAACTATAGATACTGGAAGCTTTGTCAGAACAGGCCTCCTTAAACAAAGAAAACAGCTACCTAATCCTCTCTAAGGTAAGCTTTCATGGCCAGAACAACAAACAACATTCCGCTTCTGAAAACCCAAACAGTCCCAGACTGCTTACATAGAAGCCTGGATAAAAATAGATTCTTTAAAACCAGAGTCATAGGGACCTATAGCAATTGTTTAGATCTGGACCAGATTCCAGGGAATCAAATACTTGCAAAATTAAGAAAGATTCTCAGTTGAACTTCAGTGTAGACCACCAACATTAAGGAGTGGCACTGATTTGGCATGAGAACGGGGGAAAGGCAATGATTACTACTTTGCTACCATCCATGGAATCCTGCAATGGGACTTCCATACTGGCTCATGTGTGAAGCTTTTCAGTAGAGCTGGCTCACATGTTCAGTTGCTGGTTACAGTAATCAATTGTAGATAAATTAAATTATGCACATGGCTATGAGAACCAGGCCTCTGAGAAGATGTTCTTCTTTTAAAAAAATCAAAATCTAGGAATACAGTAAAAAAAAAAAAAATTAAATTATTCACAAGGGTCTTGTTGTGGTGAGCTCTGCATACCAAACATCTCCTAACAGGTCTCTCTCTCTCTCTCTCTTACTAAGATGAGAAGTCATTTTGAATAAGTTGCCTGTTCAAAGAGTTCTTTGATAAGCACAAAACTGCTTGCCAAAATTCATATTTAGAGCCTTAATGGTGGGAGAAAAACCAAGAAATCCAATACTAAGCAGTGGATTAAAATGTATAAAGCATATTAAATGTTGTTAGTTGAAAGCAGGTTTGTTGGTCCTTAATGAACACCCTCTGCTAGATACGTAGAAGCTATATCCATTTTGGTAACATAACTCTGCCTTGGGCATGGTAGAAGTTGGGAGTAATGCCAAGGCCCTAGCAGGGCCGACTGCCACAGGACTTCTGACCCCACAAGAGATGCAGCTCAGCTGGGCCATGGGAACACCAAGCAAAGTTTTGGTCCCACAAGTGTGATGCATGTGTGCTGGCCTGTGTTGCTATGTTAATATACCAGCCCTACTCCCAACTTGTATACAAAGTGGGCCGGGCTGATTTCATTAAGAGGGTGGTGCTAGCCACCAGATGTCTACTATGTTTTGGCTGGCACTGCCTCCAGACATCACCTTAGTCCCTGATGGCTGTCCAGCAGGGAGCAGAGGGCTTCCCACCAGCACTACTGAGCAGAGATTCTGGCTTACATGTATGTCCTGACAAGTACTGCTGAGTGTGTTCATGATACCCTGTCCCACCCCTGGCATATCCACATTGTGACAGGTCCAGCACCACTAATGTGATGAGGCCAGCAATTACCCATGATGTATGCAGGCCCGGAGCTCCACTTGGTACTGCAGCCTGAGTACCAACTAGGAAATGGTGGTGGCAGGCACTGACTGTGCAGCCTTTCAGTTGGCCAGATTTGACACTCGTGGGGAAGGTTCCATCTTGACTAACTAGCCAAGAAAATAAAACTTTGCAAGTTTCTCCAAGACAACTCTTGGGCAACTTGTTCAGTAGTGAATTATCTGAGAAAATGATGACTAAGGTTTTAAGAGGGAAAAGATGTTGTCTTGATCCACAGTGATACCCATGACCAAGTGAAGGCAGTGGCCCTAGCAAGCTGGAGCTTAGTAAGCAGGCCAAGCCCCTGGATAAGAATCAAGGTGCTGGTTCAAGGCCACAGTACATGCTCTTCTTCTTCTTTGGTGATCACTCGTAGCCAAGTAAGATTGTTGTCCAAAAACACGGTTTTAACAGTTAGTCCATAAGTGACTGTGGAGGCCAATTCTGGATCCACACGTCGTTCCACAGTGGGGACATAGGTATCCGGGTGGGAGTTGATCACAGTGTGGATTTGCCAAGCGTGCCTTCCTCTTAGCACATTTCTCCCTTTCATCCTGAATTCAAGTGTCTTCAAAGTCCAGAACACCTTTGGTAAAGGCTGTTCTCCAATTGGAGCCCTTGCAGGCCAGAGTTTCCCAGTTGTTGGTGTTTATACTACTTTTTTTTTTTTTTTTAGATTTGCCTTGAGAACCTCTTTTGTTGACCACCAGCATTACACTTTCCATTTTATAGTTCGGAATAGAGTAGTTCCACCTTGAGCTGAAGCAGACGATACAAGACAACATCTTTTCCCTCTTAAAACCTTAGTCATCATTTTCTCAGATAATTCACTACTGAACAGTGTCCAAAACTGGAGTGTGAGGAAGCAAATACCTATATCTGAGTTATGTATCTATACTGAGTTTATTGTAATGATATTTTAGGATCCCTTATTGTTCTTCTATTCTTAATTGTCTTTGGAATTTTGCTCAGAGTAGTAAAGAAGTTTTGCTCTGGGAATTAAAGGAGCACTGTCATTTTCATTAATATAATTTCTACTGGGCGAAATATACTATGACGTATATCCCATTGACCTTTACAGTGACCCATGAAGTATACAGTTGTTAATCTTACTGTCTAGATGTACAACCAAAACTCAGAGACAACCTCCCAGTGGGCTTGTTTGGCTTATGGGTATTATGCCACTGCAGAAGCTTCAGCAGAAGACAATGTTACTGTCTTCAGATACCTGGTAATGAAAACTACAACCTTCTAATGTATTTCTTGCCAGCCCAAGGAGGTATATTAAAAAGTCCTATTATCTTAATAGATGTCTATTGAAGGTTGGAGCTCATATTTGACTCTTACCTTCCCTATTCTCTGGCAAGATATACAAAAGTCTTACTCATTTCTGACCCCAAAGGCGTGAATAAATATGTTGGCTTAGGTGGTGATTAATGCTTGTTGATCTCTTGATGTCTACCAAATGGGGAGTCATGGGTGAGGAACTTTAGTTTGAACTCTTTGGGCATGAACTTGTTAGATCACATCATGGCTAGGGGGAGCAGACATTTTGCATAGCAGTTTCTTGTCTCTGCAAACCTCAGATGACAGCGAGGCTTCTACTTAAGCTGAATCAATCCCTATTTACACCACTGATACAGGGTGTAAATAAGGAGCAAAACACGCTTTATGTTCATTTGGCTTCTCTCCCCACCCTTTTCTCTGTGTGGGGTATTTGATAGGGAATTTGTGCAGTTGGGAAATCTGCTTTAAACCTACTCACCACCAATGTGCATTGTGTTTTAAAGTTGTAATGCTACAAGCTTGTCTTGATGTGTTATTTTTGTAATTTAAAAAGAAAAAACTGAGCTGTGAGCTGTCTTGAAGACAAATTCCATTATTTATTTTAAAAACAAATAAGTAAAATAAATAATTTTATTTATTTATTAACAATATTTTGTGCTCTTGCTCATAATTTATTCAGGTGGTTTCCCTCTGTATAGTTTCAAGAACATCATGTTTCTGCCAAGGCTTTGTGGGTGGAAAGAGCCATAAGCATCATGGGTGAAAAGGGAAAAAGAAACTTGTAGCTTCAGCTCAGATGTTAAAAGACAAGAATCTCTCCGAATCACCCCGAATCTGTGAGCCGTATGTATTTGTGAAATAAAATTAAAACCTGGCAACCTGAAGCACATAAACCCACGCCTTGTCAAAAAATTTACTTTCAAGATGGTGGTGTTTACCTCAAGATGGCTGTCTAAAAAATACAGAATATTGCTGGAGGTTTTCCTACTTTAGGCCCAGTGGTACTGTTAACAGTCAATGTATGCAGGCATACGATACACAGTCCTGACAAAATAACATTTACATCTAAACAACCTTGTTCTTATACACTTAACATTATGAGACTTCAGATACACTGTACTTCATTGTTCCCCATCATTCAGAAATCAATATACCTTCACTGCTGCTTTTCAGCTGCAGATTGTCATAGATATTCTACAGTCATTCTTTTGAGCGTTTCCCCCCTTTTTTTGTCATTTGAACCTAAAGTAGCAAGAACTTTCAGGAGGGAGGTGGGGACTTTTGTTAGTCAGTGAACAGGCTAACAAAAGTATTTGGAGTGATCCAGGATTATCTTGGAGACCAGGGCCAAAAGCCTGAGAATATATAACAAAGTAAAGCTGCTCACAGACACATCATTGTAAAGCTGTTATTTGAGATGTATGTCAACAGCTTTGCACTTCAAGAAGCCAGTTAACAGTTCTGGGAGGAAACTATCATCCCAACAAAATGTTGCAGTAATGCCATTATAATATACCCTCCTCTCTCACTCTCTCTCCCCCTCCCTTCAAAGCAAACAAAATTATTATTTGTTAATACACTTTAATTACCATCTTCAAGTCCTCAGAAAATGTTCCTGTCTGTGCCTACCTCAAGTATAATCAGTTGAGGACCTGCTTTATTTTGTACACACGGTAATAGAGAAACAGATCCTTGCAACTCATTAAAATGGATCCTGTTACCAGTGATCAAAAGCACAAAAGCTGCCCTCTAAAACCTACTAAGATTACTCACTCACTTGTTGCTTATGCTCATTTATTGGATGGCCACAATCCATTTTCAGTATCTTCCCGGCAGGCCTAGAAATGAAAGGAAGTCACACACAAAAAGCAGCTGTTGTCTTGCACAACTTTCTCTCACGTCAATTGGCTGGGTGAGGAGAGATTCCTGGGAGCTGTGCCCAGTTCATATATATGAGAAACCAGTCATGAAAGGCTTCAGGGATTTTATTGGGTGAGATACGGGTCTAGGAAAATAGCATGTTACACTTGTAAAGGCAAAGTATTCTATACCTGAAAGGATTAGATTATATAGCAGGTGTGCTCAAAATGTACAAGTAAATCTCTATAGTATAGCTGTGTAAAAAGAAGCAGAGATCTTTTTATTTGCTACGCCCTCCCCTCTCGCCACCTGAGGTGAAACAGGAATTGCCAACTCCTGGCTCCCCAGCCATGTGACCCCAACTTCCTCTGCTGCCCCACAGCTCTCCCCAAACTTGGCAAGAACTGGGGTGCTCCTCAAAGCATTGCCGCTTGCTCAGTTTCTCTGCCCCGGGTGCAGGGAAGTCAAGTGACAATGCTATATGCCAGAATACCTCCCTCTCGGTGGTGGAAGCAGTGGGACGGACTGAGTGCCGCCTCTTGCATTTCTGCCGCTTGAGGCGGGTGCTTCACCTTGCTATACCTCTGAACTAGAAATTCCTGTCATTTAAGAAAACTTCACTTTCAAATAATCATTTTTTTCTCTAATCAAGAGAAATGAATGATCCATTCTACGTCAGGGGTGGGCAGAAGGTAGATCTGTACCTGCAGTAGTTCTTGGGGTGATTTGCAGTAGATCATCAAGGATGATTTCCAATGATTTTACGACAGCAACAACAAAATGACTCCGCTCCATGCTCCAGCCCTAAACTATACTGCAGAAATGAAGGATTGGGGTAACCTGGAGTGGAACTTTGTGTGGAAGGAATGCGAGCTGTTCCGCCAGGCCTTCGGTCAGGGTTCAGTCTGATTCTTTAATTTCTGTATAAGAACAAGATTAAAGAGGCCTCCTAGCCCACTCACAGGCCCTTTATAAGACCAGAGGTAACAGTTGGCCCTGGAGAGTATTAACCACTCTCAATTTTACCCATGGACTGCCATCTGTCCAGATTTTAATTTGCTCTGAACTAATTTTAAGATGTATTTTAATTAATTGATTGCCTGTTTTATGTTCTTAGGTTCTTTGAATACTGTGTTAGTTTTATGATGCTAGCCACCCTGAGCCCGGCTTTGGCCGGGGAGGGTGGGGTACAAATAAATTATTATTATTAATAATAATAATAATTAGGGGATATCAGAACTAAATGGTGTTCACAGTCCTTCCACACAAAAATCCATTCCTGGTTACCCCAATCTTTCTTTCTGTCAGCAATATAACGTAGGGCTGGAGGAAAGTCATCTGTTATATGATCCAGAACAAATTCCTGGAATAATAATAATAATAATAATAATAATAATAATAATAATAATTTATTATTTGTACCCCGCCCATCTGGCTGGGTTTCCCCAGCCACTCTGGGCGGCTTCCATAGAAACCAAAAATACAGTAAAATATCACAGATTAAAAACTTCCCTGAACAGGGCTGCCTTAAAATGTCTTCTAAATGTCAGGTAGTTATTTATCGCTTTGACATCTGATGGGAGGGCGTTCCACAGGGCGGGCGCCACTACCGAGAAGGCCCTCTGCCTGGTTCCCTGTAGCTTTGCTTCTCACAATGAGGGAACCGCCAGAAGGCCCTCGGCGCTGGACCTCAGCGTCCGGGCAGAACGATGGGGGTGGAGACGCTCCTTCAGGTATACTGGGCCGAGGCCAGTATTGGATTGGAATTCCTTGGTTCTAAGTGTATATCTTTTGTTCCAGGCTCTGTTTGGTGGACTGAGGTTTCTAGACCCTACATGTCTAGAATCTGCCCATCCCTGCAGTATATGTTAGTATACAAACTAACCACATTTAGTGAGGTTGCCTCTCTACTTTACTTTCACCAGCAGACCGATTTTCCTGTTTAGTAAGGTCATTGGCCACTGATCGGCTATTGTGGCAGGGGTGGGTGTTGTAGTCCACCCTTGTATTTTTTAAAGGCTTGGTGTGTCTTCAGTGCTGTTTTTAATTGGGTTACTTATTTAATTGCTTTTTAATATTTAAGTTGATTGTGTGTTTTTAGTTGCATCTGTTTTAATTTATGCTGTGGGCCCTACGCTGGGAAAAAGGGGATATATAAATTAAATACAGTAAATAAGTGCACTACCACACCTGTGTGTTCTCAGCATAATACAGTGGTGCCCGGCAAGACGAATGCCTCGCAAGACGAAAAACTCGCTAGACGAAAGAGTTTTCCGTTTTTTGAGTCGTTCCGCAAGACAAATTTCCCTATGGGCTTGCTTCGCAAGACGAAATGTCTTGCGAGTTCTTGCGAGTTTGTTTCCTTTTTCTTAAAGCCGCTAAGGGGCTAAGCCGTTAATAGCCGCTAAGCCGTTAATAGCCGCTAAGCCACTAATAGCCGCTAAGCCGCTAAGCCGCTAACAGCCGTGCGTCGCAAGACGAAAAAACCGCAAGATGAAGAGACTCGCGGAACGGATTAATTTCGTCTTGCGAGGCACCACTGTACAGTGGACGCTCAGGTTGCAAACGTGATCTGTGTGGGATGCACGTTCGCAACCTTCAGTGTTCGCAACCCATAGCGCCGTGTCTGCGCACGCGCAGGTTGCGATTTGGCGCTTCTGCGCATGCTCAAAGTGTGATTTAGCGCTTCTGCGCATGCATGACCGCCGAAACCCAGAAGCAACCCGTTCCGGTACTTCTGGGTTTCGGCAGTCCGTAACCCGAAAAAACACAACCTGAATCGTCTGTAACCCGAGGTATGACTGTATGCCTATCAACAATATACGACCTTTCCATTCCGTAGTTCAGGCAATGTTACTCCACAGTCCCATTTTTTAATCGACACTTCATAGACTCGGGTCTTATTTTCATCTACCTATTTCTCCCAGAAGTTGCTCGGTCTTTATTCCTCACCACCACAAACAATTTTTCCCCAATGAAATGCCCTTTGTCTCCTCTTTCTTCAACCACCCTGTTGTCCCTCTTGAAAATGGTTTGCTGTGTGAATTTGAAGAATAATGCAATGAACATGCATAGCAAGTTTCATCCATCTTAATTTCTAGGGAAGGGGTAGAATTGTTAACTGAAAATGCACAAGCAGCAAAGAGAAAAGCTTCCTATATAAACTGGAAAATGTTAATATTACTATTCCAAAAAATCCTTTAACAATGTTTTTTTTAAAAGATAAAAAAGTGATTGCTTCCAAGATTTTCACATGAGAATTAAGCTGATATTTGCTGGTTGTGTTTTATTGTGCAAAAGTCTTCTATCGGGTGGGTCTACCTGCTGTTAAACACAAAAATCTAAAGGTGTGAAGGAAGGAAATGAAGCAAAAATCATGGGAAGCCTCACTATTTGTCCTATACTGCCGCTGAGGTTTTTTTAATGACTGTGTTGAATGAATATTATTTATTGTTGAAAAGGAGACCGATGTTATTCTGGGCTTTGGGGTCTACAGCTAATGGCTCTCCAGCATAATGAAAGCATTTTGGCAAAGGATTGCTTTTCTCCTTTTTCTGTTATGTTGTCATTTGTCTTTCTATTCACATTTCTGTCAGCACTATGTATACAAAAGCATTGTGTGGTAGGTGTTTCCCGGCAAGTTCATTGCTATGCTTCCTTGGATACTTACTAAGCCTGCCAAAAAAATATGTGGCTTTTATGAAAGTGGGTGGGGTCAAATTCTTGTTGGAGGCTCTCTCAGGAACGTAGTGTCTCATGAACTAGTTTTGATTTGTAGCTACTTTTTCTTCTTCTTAAGTAGTTTGGATGAAATGAGACATTACAGTGGCAGACCTGAAAGTGTCTGACTGAACCCATAGCCATAGAACTGAACCATTCTGCACCCCAAACTGTCTCCTCAGAAACTGCTTTGCCCCATCTGGTTTTATCCTGGTGGAGCTCTACAACCATATAAGTGCTGAGGATGCGATAGGAAACAAGGAAAAAACACATCACCACTAAGTAGTGGTTTAGGTGAGGGAGCTTACG